ATGTTGATGATTATGTTGAACTGTAAGATGTTATATGAGAAAAAAATAAAAAATAAAGAAAATCCTCTAATTGCTAGACAGTGGTAAAAGTATCATTAGGATCCAAACACAGACCAAGAATTCATGGAGAACATTAATCGAAAAAAGTATCCGTCCTTAAACACTCACTCGGCTATTTTTAGGCAAGTCGTCGTGGTGTGACACTGAACCTCCATGTATATACTTATTCTCATCTTATCACAGCAGCTTACTGACAAATCGGTTGGGATAGTAGTCACTTGAACATAATGCTGAAGTACCAGTTTTATTCATAAAACACCTATACTGGATAACCAACACGTCACTTCTGAAGTTAAGAGGTCTACTTTCAACCTTTGACTTCCATATTTGATTCCTACAATAAACGTTGCATATACACAACTAACTTAATGTGGGCCAAGTGCAATATAGGTGACTTATTTTGGCTGAGGCTGAATATTATCAGTCATATTCATATACGAGGTAAAGGGGTCCTCACGATCTTATGTATTGACGAGTAAACTGCAACAGGTACTAATAGGCTTATCTTTAAAGATGACTCACACATCCAATAGCTAAATGATATTGCTAAATACTCTTTGAGCTTGGCAGCAACGTGTCATGCGAGAGAAGACGAGGAATAAGTGTTGGCAACTCATGGCCCAGGGGCATGACTCTAAATGACCAGGGAGTCTTAACACTTCCAGCAGGAGAGTTATCTTGGGTTAGTCTTTAGATCACAGAAACAGTCTCTCTAACGTTAACTCCAAGTCCAGTCAGACAGTCTCTCACACACCACTCACTAGTGCTAACAACTAGACTCGTCTGGCAAGTCTCGTGAGTCTTCTCTCACCTGCTGGTGCCGTCAGTGCTCGTCCTCTACATCCACGACCCAAAACCAAAGGTACGTGCAGCGAGGCTTGGGGGAAATGAATGATGCAGGCGCAGATTTCTTATTTCTAAAAGGCAATACACAAAATTCACTATTATAGGTAAAGAAAGTTTTTGCTGTGTTGAATATGCAGAAGAAATATGTAAAACCACACCGTGCCCAAATTGTCCTGCCGTGATTTGCGAGGCTTGGAAGTGAACTTACTCATGCGTCAAACACTGTCAATATTAAACGACATTTGACATACGATATAAAGATTCCCAGGAATCTGAATTTCATATTGCGTCAAACAACAGATAATTAGGACCAATTAAGAATATTACACAAGCAAGATGAATTGGTTACATGGAATTTAGGGATATGATACTGTTATAGTACTTCACCGGGACTTGATTTTGAGATAAGCAGTGTCACTACATACCAAGTTTCAATGAAGATAATTGCATTAAAAAGTTAGCTTAGTTATACGAAGGTAATACGAGGTACCGTTACCAGGCAACAAGTACTGTAGTGACACAAGGACAGTTTATCCAGTGTGAACGATTTAAGGAAGAATTGTAACAATATAACGCGTTTTATTCGATTCTCTCTGTTTCTTGGGGAATGTTGTAGCTACATAGCAACAGCATTATGAAAATGGACACCACTGTCAACATTCAATTGACGGGTTGTTTAGCATGGGAGTTAATACGTTCACCGTGTCATGTCACAAGGAGAAATGAGTTAACATCACGTAACGTTCGTCCTGTCATGTTGCAGAACCAAATTTAAGTGAAAAGACTCAAAAGTACCACATAGTTATAAAAACAACTAATTTTGGGTCAAAACATGAAATTTCAGGAGCGCCGTATATCTGTAAGAATTGAGTAGGCTATCTTCTGAATCACAATACTGTACAACCTCAGTATAACGTCAATGAAATGGACCATGATTGCTTTACCCTCACATTTTGCATTCTACTGTAAATACCATAATTTAACCCGATGGAAATTGAACTTTTTTAAAAGTATTGTTACAAAATGTACACTATACGGTATGAATACTTTGACTGACCTGTGATCATTAGACAGAAACTATGGTTTGGGTAATAAGTACTTAACAAAATGACGCTGCCTTTGTATGTTGATATAGGAAGTACTGTAGATCCAATTTCCATTAAGGTGATGTGATAAATGGAGGTAATTAAAGGCTTGAATGTGGGCTGCTTAGTTAATGACTAGGGCATGGTTTGGATCAATCAATTAATCATTTTAATTTAACCATTAATTAATAAAAAAAAAATTTTACACATTAATTCACCCTGTACCTGTACTCTCACACTCAATGACCAAATACTGTACACTTGGGTAATATGACCTCTGATTAAACTGAACGAAACCGACGACTTTCCAGTTTTACATCGGTAAACGAATGAAAGAAATCACTGACGTGTAATTTATGTACGAAAATAGTAGGAAGTGGCTACTTAGCAGGGAATTCCTGGCCAGGCAGACAAATGGCAACTTCACCGGGAAACCAATCGTGACGAGCTGGTGTGTTCAGCGATCGTATTCTCGGCTAATTCATGTGCCGTTCTAGTATTACGCCTCTCATTTATACACTCTTTTCTTATAGACAACTAACAAAATTTCCCGGCTTCTCTCGGGTTAGGTTTATACGGAATAACCTTAACTGTCACAGTTTGCGGCGGCGATATCAGTCGAGGAACTTTTTTTAGTCATTTTTATCGTCTTGCCATTAAATTTGACAAATGCTTACCTAGTACTACTAAGGTTCACAACCTTGGCACCCATGTAATATACAGTAGGCTATGTGTAAAGTTTTGGAGCTATGGCGAGAACAGACAGACACACAGACAGACAGACAAATATACACGTCTTTTCATATTATTATTAGTAGTAGTATTAGTATAGCAGTTACATGAATGAATAATATTAAAAATTAGTCTAAAGGTTCCAAGGGAATTAGAACTCCAAGTCGACGGTCAGGTTTGTTGTCAGGGTTCTTAACATCGTCTCAGTCGAGTGAGAACCATATTTTGTCCGTCCTTCAACACACACATATCATCCATTCTGTACTGATTGGTTATACTATTTTCTTATATACCTTTAATTTGTTCTGTGTTTAAGTAAATATGGTTTGAACCCAGCAGGGACATGTTACAAACCTCCTGTTTTCTTATGTTTCAGGAAAGGGTCGTGTTAAAAAGTGGAGACGGTAGGTGTGTAGCTTAGTATAGACGAGGCTTGTCTTTTTTCCACCTGAAGGATACTGCTACTGACGGAGAAGCCATTCACATTGCCTGCGGGAGAAAATAACAACTCACTCCTGAAACTGTATTTGGAAATCCTGCACTAATAATGAGTTGCTCTTCCTAGAAACAAACCATAGTTGACGGTTTACTATATATTTAAGCATCACATAATACGACACAACGCCTTACCTATAAAAACAACGGGATTTGAGTAATCTGGAAAGCCAAGGAAGCCTAAGCAAATTCGATGCACCTAACATTTGAAAGAACATCTAACCGGCTTTAAAACTGAAAGCAAATTAGGAGCATAATTAACTTCAGGATATTAATAAAGCAAAGATGGAACGTAAAATACTTTATGGTGTCTGAGAAACAATAGGAAATACTCTGGTAAAACTGCCCCATGATTTCATCCTCAAGTCAAAAGTTTAAGAACCATCATTGTTCAATGATATAAGAGACATATGAGCTTTTTTCCAAGTTAAAGAGCACAACCATCTCATATATGCTCCTGGCAATATGGAGTACAACGGGGAATCATACTGGAGGGGTTCCGGAAATTCAGGTCAAGATATTATGTCGATTCCAGACATCAAAATCACTGACACAAACTTAGACAACATGGAAGAGCAAAGCCATTCGGCTAGTGGAGCCGACCCAAAATATCATCGCCGGAAGTCAAGCACCGGATCTATTACTAACATGAGATATCAAGCCCAAGCAGATGATGAAAGAGAGGAGCACCTAAACACGCGCCGGGAGTCCTCTAGGCGTATGTCTAGCACAGGTTCGATCTCTGAATTTCAAGACACCGAGACATCCATGCAGGACCGCCAGCCCCGTAGATCAAGCACTAGTTCGTCAAATGGCCGCACAGCTAGATCAAGGAGTGGATCAACAGCAGAATTTCAGTACTCGTCAGCTGAGGACGAGAGACAACTGCTGGTAGACACTTCCACTGTTTTCTCACTACCTGACTTGCATGACTATATGACATCTCCCAAGCCTTCAGAAGGAAAACTGATACCTGTGTCGGTGAATGAGCCTCCTGCAGGAAAGGAAACACCTGGATCAGTTAGAGAGACAATAACTTCAACAGAGCGTGACAAAAGTCTGTCAGTTAGTGGTTCATCCCCTGATAAACGCCGCCGCAGATCAATAAATGATATATCATTCAACATTCAGCCTCGTAAATCAATTGCCGAATTCACTCCGAAAATGCAAGAACAAATAGCAAAGTTTGAGCCCTTACTAAACGATCATAGAAGCGGCGATATGTCATCAGATATGGATTATCAAGAGCTGACCGAAGGCGATGGACCAGAAATGAGTCGTCGACGATCAACCATGGATAATGACGTATCAGAAATGGGTCGTCGACGATCGACCAGAAATGATGATGTACCAGAAATGGGTCGTCGACGATCGACCAGAAATGATGATGGACCAGAAATGGGTCGTCGACGATCGACCAGAAATGATGATGTACCAGAAATGGGTCGTCGACGATCGACCAGAAATGATGATGTACCAGAAATGGGTCGTCGACGATCGACTAGAGATGATGACGTACCAGAAATGGGTCGTCGACGATCGACCAGAAATGATGATGGACCAGAAATGGGTCGTCGACGATCGACCAGAAATGATGATGTACCAGAAATGGGTCGTCGACCGATGGTCGTCGACGATCGACTAGAGATGATGACGTACCAGAAATGGGTCGTCGACGATCGACCAGAAATGATGATGGACCAGAAATGGGTCGTCGACGATCGACCAGAAATGATGATGTACCAGAAATGGGTCGTCGACGATCGACCAGGATGATGACGTACCAGAAATGGGTCGTCGACGATCGACCAGAGATGATGATGGACCAGAAATGGGTCGTCGACGATCGACCAGAAATGATGATGTACCAGAAATGGGTCGTCGACGATCGACCAGGGATAATGACGTACCAGAAATGGGTCGTCGACGATCGACTAGAGATGATGACGTACCAGAAATGGGTCGTCGACGATCGACCAGAGATGATGATGGACCAGAAATGGGTCGTCGACGATCGACCAGAAATGATGATGTACCAGAAATGGGTCGTCGACGATCGACCAGGGATGATGATGTACCAGAAATGGGTCGTCGACGATCAACCAGGGAGGATGACATAACAGATTTAGGTCGTCGACGATCGACCAGGGAGGATGCACCCTATATGGATCTTCAAGGGTTGAACACAGAAGACATACCAAACATGGAACGTCGGCCATCAATAAAAAAGAAAATCCAGGAGATGGAACACCGCAAGTCTATGAGTGAGGACATGGCAGCGTTGGAGCATCACTTGTCAACCAACGAGAACAATGGAAATATGGAGTACAGAGAGGCTCTAGACGCTGACGATGAGATGATACCGGAGCAAATGGCAGTGCCAAAGATTCAGGTTCATAGTTTCAGTGACTTAGTAGATGAAAATTCTGAAGACGCTGCAGACTTGGATGAGAGGTCTCTGAAGTTAGCGGAGCCGTATCTTAAATACCGCAAGTCAATCTCAGAACTGGAACCATACCTTCAGTTCCAGGATGAAGTCAGTAAACTGACACCAGAAATCCAAGCACAATGGTCAACAACTGAGGCAGAAACTCGTGGATCACTAGACATACAAGGCCACAGTTCGGGCAGCAATTGTCCATCAGACGACGAAAATGACGAACCCAACAATGAGAATAGACCTGATGTAGCGGATGGTCTGCAGGCTCACATGACAAGTATTCTGTCTATGTCAGATACAGAACCCAAAGAATCAGACAACATCCAGTCCTCTTGGTCACTCACAGGATCGCGTGACTCAATCAATGGAAAAAAGTCTCAACAAACTAGAGATTCAGAAAGCGAGGCAGCTGACCCTGCGAGCTCAGGAAGTGAGGGAGAATCGGACTTGGACGTAAACTGGAAATTAGGTGAGCCTGTGCCGAATCTGGAATATCGTAGATCAATCAGTGATATAGTACGGGGTGGTGGATCAAGTGGCGAATCAGAACCGGAGCTCATGAATTACCGGGAGACTGGTGAGGGGGAGGAGGAGCCTCAACATCCAGATAGTCGTCGCTCCAGCGGAGAGCATGAACCAACCCCTGGCGATGAACCACGCAAGTCGATTGGCATAGAGATGCTCGACTCCTTGGTTCACCAGCAGAGTAGCGAGCCAATACCTGCCCACAAGTCCCCGATACCACCTGACTCCCAAGAAGATGACGCTCAGTGGAGTATGAATGAAACACCAGTGATTTCAGCGGCAGACATGGGTGTTCGCTCACCAAGAGGTTCAACGGCAGGTTTGGACACTCGTTCACCAAGAGGTTCAACGGCAGGTTTGGACACTCGTTCACCAAGAGGGTCAACGGCAGGTTTGGACACTCGTTCACCAAGAGAGTCAACGGCAGGTTTGGAGTCCGGTTCACCAAGAGGTTCAATTGCAGATTTGGAGGCTCCATCTCCCAGGGAATCAGCGACATTCTTGGAGACGGGTGAGACAGAGTTAGCAGTGAGTGAGGAGCCACGGCGGAAGTCAATCAGTATGACGGTGATGGACTTCTTGACTAGCAGGTTCAGCGGGGTTCAGGAGGCACAAGACTCACCCGCACCACAGGCAGAGGTTCAGGATAGTTGCAGCGAAGTCTGTGGCCTAACTGAGGGTTCAGCAAGTGATCAGGAGGTTCATTCACCTAGAGGTTCAACGGCAGGTTTGGACACTCGTTCACCAAGAGGTTCAACGGCAGGTTTGGACACTCGTTCACCAAGAGGGTCAACAGCAGGTTTGGACACTCGTTCACCAAGAGGTTCAACGGCAGGTTTGGACACTCGTTCACCAAGAGGGTCAACGGCAGGTTTGGACACTCGTTCACCAAGAGGTTCAACGGCAGGTTTGGACAGGTTTGGACACTCGTTCACCAAGAGGGTCAACGGCAGGTTTGGACACTCGTTCACCAAGAGGTTCAACGGCAGGTTTGGACACTCGTTGGACAACTGGACACGTTCACCAAGAGGTTCAACGGCAGGTTTGACACTCGTTCACCAAGACAACTCGTTCACCAAGAGGGTCAACGGCAGGTTTGGACACTCGTTCACCAAGAGGGTCAACGGCAGGTTTGGAATCTGGTTCACCAAGAGGTTCAACAGCAGGACATTCATTCACAAGAGGGTCAACAGGTTTGGACACTCGTTCATCAAGAGGGTCAACGGCAGGTTTGGAATCTGGTTCACCAAGAGGTTCAACAGCAGGTTTGGACACTCGTTCACCAAGAGGGTCAACGGCAGGTTTGGACACCTGTTCACCAAGAGGTTCAACGGCAGGTTTGGACACTCGTTCACCAAGAGGTTCAACGGCAGGTTTGGACACTCGTTCACCAAGAGGTTCAACGGCTGGACACTCGTTCACCAAGAGGTTCAACGGCAGGTTTGGACACTAGTTCACCAAGAGGGTCAACGGCAGGTTTGGACACTCGTTCACCAAGAGGTTCAACGGCAGGTTTGGACACTCGTTCACCAAGAGGGTCAACGGCAGGTTTGGACACTGTTCACCAAGAGGTTCAACGGCAGGTTTGGACACTCGTTCACCAAGAGGTTCAACGGCAGGTTTGGACACTCGTTCACCAAGAGGGTCAACGGCAGGTTTGGAAGTTCACCAAGAGGTTCAACAGCAGGTTTGGACACTCGTTCACCAAGAGTCAAGACACTCGTCACCAAGACGGCAGGTTTGGACACTCGTTCACCAAGAGGGTCAACGGCAGGTTTGGACACTCGTTCACCAAGAGGGTCAACGGCAGGTTTGGACACTCGTTCACCAAGAGGGTCAACGGCAGGTTTGGAGTCCGGTTCACCAAGAGGTTCAATTGCAGATTTGGAGGCTCCATCTCCCAGGGAATCAGCGACATTCTTGGAGACGGGTGAGACAGAGTTAGCAGTGAGTGAGGAGCCACGGCGGAAGTCAATCAGTATGGCGGTGATGGACTTCTTGACTAGCAGGTTCAGCGGGGTTCAGGAGGCACAAGACTCACCCGCACCACAGGCAGAGGTTCAGGATAGTTGCAGCGAAGTCTGTGGCCTAACTGAGGGTTCAGCAAGTGATCAGGAGGTTCATTCACCTAGAGGTTCAACGGCAGGCTTGGACACTCGTTCACCAAGAGGTTCAACGGCAGGTTTGGACACTCGTTCACCAAGAGGTTCAACGGCAGGTTTGGACACTCGTTCACCAAGAGGGTCAACGGCAGGTTTGGACACTCGTTCACCAAGAGGGTCAACGGCAGGTTTGGAATCTGGTTCACCAAGAGGTTCAACAGCAGGTTTGGACATTCATTCACCAAGAGGGTCAACGAAAGGTTTGGACACTCGTTCATCAAGAGGGTCAACGGCAGGTTTGGAATCTGGTTCACCAAGAGGTTCAACAGCAGGTTTGGACACTCGTTCACCAAGAGGGTCAAAGGCAGGTTTGGAATCTGGTTCACCAAGAGGTTCAACGGCAGGTTTGGATACTCGTTCACAAGAGGTTCAACGGCAGGTTTGGACACTCGTTCACCAACGGCAGGTTTGGACACTCGTTCACCAAGAGGGTCAACGGCAGGTTTGGAATCTGGTTCACCAAGAGGTTCAACAGCAGGTTTGGACATTCATTCACCAAGAGGGTCAACGAAAGGTTTGGACACTCGTTCATCAAGAGGGTCAACGGCAGGTTTGGAATCTGGTTCACCAAGAGGTTCAACAGCAGGTTTGGACACTCGTTCACCAAGAGGGTCAAAGGCAGGTTTGGAATCTGGTTCACCAAGAGGTTCAACGGCAGGTTTGGATACTCGTTCACCAAAGAGGTTTCAACGGCAGGTTTGGACACTCGTTCACCAAGAGGGTCAACGGCAGGTTTGGAATCTGGTTCACCAAGAGGTTCAACAGCAGGTTTGGACACTCGTTCACCAAGAGGTTCAACGGCAGGTTCGGAAGATCAATCACCCGGAGATACAACAGCACTTTCGGAGAGTCACTGGCCTCCAAGGGGTTCAAATGATATGGAAGATCGTAGGTCTTCTAGAGATTCAGTAGATGAAGATCACAAGTCACGTAAAAGTTCAGTTGGTGCCCTGGAAGGTCGTATTTCACCAAGAGGTTCAGTTGGTGCTCTAGAGGGTCGTATTTCACCAAGAGGATCAGTTGGTACCCTGGAAGGTCGTATTTCACCAAGAGGTTCAGTTGGTGTTCTAGAGGGTCGTATTTCACCAAGAGGTTCAGTTGGTGCCCTGGAAGGTCGTATTTCACCAAGAGGTTCAGTTGGTGCTCTAGAGGGTCGTATTTCACCAAGAGGTTCAGTTGGTGCCCTGGAGGGTCGTATTTTACCAGGAGGTTCAGTTGGTGCCCTGGAGGGTCGTATTTCACCAAGAGGTTCAGTTGGTGCCCTGGAGGGTCGTATTTCACCAGGAGGTTCAGTTGGTGCCCTGGAGGGTCGTATTTCACCAAGAGGTTCAGTTGGTGATGTTAAGAGTCACAGGTCGCCCAGAGGTTCAACAGCAGGCCTGGATGATACTAAAACATACAGAAAAACAATCCCAGTAATGAACTATCCCGGTGAGGAAGACACAGACTGGGCAGCGGAGTCCCAGACAAAGAATCATAAGTCTGTCGGTGATGCGGTTCCTGGGTTCCAAGGTCTCAGGTCTTTCCTTGAAACTGCCCAAAATGGAAAGTCCAACAATGAACTCTTTCCAGTGGTGACTAATGAGCCCCGTAAGTCAATTGGGATGGAAATGTTCAATTATCTGGTGCGTCGGTTCAGCAATGTCGAACCAGGACAAGACTTCGAGCCCGAACGACCCTTGGAACGGGATGCTCAGAAATCTCCGAGAGCCTCCTTTGATGCCAAAGATAACCGAAGCTCATGCAGAGGTTCAACAAGTGACCTAGATGCCAACAGGTCACCCAGAGGTTCAAGAAGTGACCTAGACAACAACAGGTCACCTAGAGGTTCAAGGACTGACCTAGATGCCAATAGGTCACCCAGAGGTTCAAGGACTGACCTAGATGCCAACAGGTCACCCAGAGGTTCAAGAAGTGACTTAAATGACCGACACTCATCAGAAAAAATAGTCGACAATATTTCTTCTAATGAGGAGGAATTGCTCGACTCTGTTGATGACTCGGGATCGGATTTGGAAACAAGCTGGACAGTGAATAAAGAGGATTCAGATAGCAAGTCGCTATCAAGGTATCCTGAAAATCGGTCGGAAATCCAAAAATATTCACCGGTGAATGAAATGGCTAGTATCTACTCTTCACGACGAGGGTCTATGAAGAAGAGGGAAATCACAGAATACTACCAAATGGATATCGAGACAGGAGACTTGTATTACTATGAGGCGCCAGACTTGTTTACATCCCTATTCCACCACATCATGACCATCTTGTGCCTACCTGACCTAGATATGGTAGAGTACGAGCTCCCTCTCCCATCAGAGGACGACCTTGGGAATCCCGGGATGATGGAGGATCCTTCAGAGCTTCAGATTTTAGGTACACACCCTAAGAACAAAATCCAATGAATAACACTATAAAGAGCACTTGAGTACCCACTTAGAATTTCCATAAACTAATTGAATTACAATTTTAGCAGCTATGAATGAGTACAGCAAGGGGCACTCACTTGTCCCTGTTACAGGTGAAAAATTGATGCAGTGTGTGAAACGCTTGGACGGGTCGGAGGGCTGGACCACCATGGACAATATACAGAAAGACAAGATTAAGAAAAAATTGGAGAGGTAAATATAGTACAGCAGCTGTATTTGTATGAAAACATCAATATGTGCTTTTGTCGTTTATCTTAACTGGAATTAAATTTACACATGAAGCCACTATCAAATGTCATTTATATTCAGATGAAAGTAGTTTGACATTTATTGTATTAAAGTAATGTCTCAGTCTTGCTCAACAGCAAGTGGAGAAATTTTTCTACGAATTCTTTAATCAGGGACAGAAGCTACTGTACTTTATTATGTATATTTCCCAAGTCTGTTATAACAAAAGAATACGAGTTATTAGACAACATATTCGAAGGCTAATCTAGAGGGACTATGAAGTCAAATTTAACATGAGATGAAATGGTCTTCATAAGAGAAGAATAAATTAATAATTCTTTAAGGGATCTTGACGTCAAATTATTATGAGTAAATCATTAAGAAAGAGAGGATAATTAAGGAACGAAATGAAGAATGATATGTCAGTTGTATTTCTACATTTGTGCTGGAGATATAAAGTGACTAAAGGTGCAGGCCAACCACAAAGTTGCTCACAGAGCACTTTATGTTGTTGATGTCGAGAATTAGAATGGTTGTGTTTCAGAGGCTTTGTTTTAGGCCTAATAAATCGTTTGTGTCTTCACTCTTAGTATGTTACAGATGCCCACCTCCATATGAGCCCCATGAAGCTTTACTCTCACCCACCTCACCGCCAACTCCAGCACTGTCATCACCATAACTCCTGCCACCATCATCATCAAGCACCACCACATGCCTTCATCTCCACTGACGTCATCACCTCATCACCATTTGTGGTAATTGTCTAGAAAAAAATCACGCTCATTTTACTCATTGCCCTTGTTGCCTATCTTTTTTTAACATATCTGAGAGCTTAAGTGTTGTTCTGCTCATGAAATTGCATAAAATAATCTGTCATGATTTTTAACAATTCATTGTCTAGGAAAGTAATGAACCTTGCTTTCTGGTTTCGATCAGTTTAAAGTGATATACAGTAATTTTTTTTTTCAAGACAACTGAGATATCAAACATTGGATTTGGAAATTGTCATGGATTTGTTATCCACATGTGTACAGGGTCCCTCTGATCTAAATAAAATCCTCTGGTGTTAAGGAACATGGAGCATTGGAGCACCAGCAACATGTACTGGTATGCCATTGCCAACTGGCACTTTGTCTCCTCCAGTGAATCAAAACACACAAAAACTGACCTGAGTCTGACCTTAGCAGGAAATACTGTTGTGTGTTAATATGTATGTTTTTGGTCTCGCTTAATAACCTAATCTTGTTAAAATTAGCCAGAGTTCCCTGAAGATCTGATTTACTTCGCGGGAGGGTGTGCTGAGCTGCATATAAAGAAAGAAAATTAGCTGTAGTGCACAGTACACTTCGTCACTAGTGTTAAAACTGCTAATAACTAAAAGTCTCCGTAGTGCATGCGTTAGCCCAACTTCAACTCGTTCCATTTCTATTTTCCAAATATAAAAAAGTACAAACGAGAGTTAAGATTTCGTATAGGAAGATAGAGCAAAAAAATATATATATAAATATTTTATTCTAATGCAATTTTTGTCAGAAATGTATAGTTTTGGAGTTGTTTCAATTACTGTTTAAACTTATGAAAATTTGTACAACTTTGGCAGTTCTCCAGTTGGCTGGGGTGCATTTATTGTTTACTTCTTCACATGATCAGCCTCCACCATTAGTTAAACAAGGTAAGGTCAGACTAGGTAAATTTAGGACAGGTTAGGTCAAGTTCCCTTTGGTTTGATGGTTCAATATTTTTTCGTGTTTTTACCCCACAATTCCCCTCGACATCAAAGCCCTGTCCTCTTTGTACATTCATTATCATTGGTAGTGGGTCATATCTCCATAAATATTAATTTCTGCCCCAAAAAATGGTTCACGTTCCTTTAAATCACCATCGTTTACATGAGAAAAAAAAATTTTGTTAGCGATCCCATTCGTGTCTCCTACCAAATTTTTACCCAAAATAGCTTCAAACATATGTAAAAATATTGAAAGAAAAACCACTAACTTTTCTTAATGTTTTCTATAATCTAATATAATGAGGAAAAAATGTGGGCTATGTAAAGGATATTGCTAGAGAGGAGTCGGGTGACCCATGGGGAGAGCAAAAGGACATGATTTTACAAAAGATAGAAATTACCCCATAAATAAGTATTGAATCATGACCGAGATCGTTACGCGATGGACCTCTCTTATAAGGTATGTAAAATAAACAATATATTCATGAAAAACAATGGGCGTGTCATAGGCAATTATCTCATCAGCTTTTGCCACCATCACACCACAGTTACAACAGCTATCATCAATACGGTCCTTCCCTTCCTCATCAGTGTCACAACTACATCCCCTCCACTAATATGACTACTATCATCACCACAATTATCAACATTCTCACAATTAACACCATTATCACTACCATCACCACCACCTTGACGTGCGTCGCAGCATCACAGCTGTGACCTTCTGTGGGTGCGGGTTCTTGGGTGGCTACCTGGTGGGGGCGGCCACCTACATCCAGGAACACGCCCCCGGGCTGCTGAGGGGGCGGCTGGGGGGCTCCTCCGTGGGCTCACTCATTGCCACTTGCATTGTTTGCGACGTTCCCCTGCAGGTTGGTGCTCACTGTTGCTCTACCATAACCCTGAAGCCTTGTTACATACTGATCTTGTGTTTCCATCAGAGGCATTATTAGAATTAAAACTTTCCTATGAACACACCCTACAATTATTGATGCCGTTTGTGGCAGTAAATAGATCTCTTTTACACTAAACCTGAAGAAATTAGTACCACTTACACTGATACAAAAACCAGGTGCAATGTATGCATGTAATGTGTATTTCCAGATATTCCAGGTGTTGTGACATGAAGACACTGCAATCACCTCCCCTTTTGAGTGTTGAAGGGCTAAACCTTCTCCAGGGCTAAGAGTTCAACAAAAATAAATGTGCTATAACATAGTGTTCAGACAGTTCAGCAGAGATTAACTTTAGTAAATATAACTTACATCGTGTTCTGTGTCATCAAATTTCCTAATTATTGTAGTTGCAGAACATTACATTAAAAACAACCCCAGCATGGGACTCCTTGGTCTTAATAGGACCCAACTTAACCATTAAAACTGGGGTCCACTAAGACTGAATTAAATACATTTGGACTGGCTCCGAACCTTAAGAAATAAATAAAAACAGATTGAGTTGATGAGGATCAACAGGCCTGTAACCCATTTGAGCAATCACTTAACCCAGGTGGTTAAGGAAGTTGAAAACTCACAACACTACAGAGGTCTGTTATGCCATAATCTTATTACATTTGTGATTTTTTGTAAAAACTCATACAAACAATATAAAGGCTTGCTCTGTTATCAGCACATTGTAAAGTGCAAGTTTAATATATCCTGTAAACTATCAACACTGGAGAAATTTTTTATTTTCAACTCATGACAATGAAAGAAAGGTTTCTTGCGCATTGAGCTGTCACAAGGAGAGATGTGTTGTGTGGTTGTAACACTATGAGAGGTGTGGTGTGGTTGTAACACAAGGAGATGATTGGTTCAGCAAATCACAGGAGGTCATCTTTCGCAGGCGGTGAGGGAGACGATACTGAAGACTGCCAAGGCATCGCGGGCTTACTTGTTTGGCCCACTCAGCCCATTCTTCCCCCTGGAGGAGCCGCTGCTCAAGAACCTGCTGAAGATGCTGCCAGAAGACGCACATATCCGCGCCTCTGGTCGACTCTTCCTCTCTCTCACTCGTGCCTCCACCCTTACCAATGAGGTAGCCATACCACAATGTACACATGTCTCTATGCATAAATTTACACACACACAGACACTAACATTCATGTAACCTGTGGATGTAGTATGTAACATACCACACATGAAAGGATGTGTATTCATATCTTTTCTCCATTTTCTATATTTTACAGTACAGTACAGTAATTGTATATGATAAATGCACTGAAGTTTCCAAATTTATCAATCCAACATTACCCTTAACTCTTAGAATGAACCAGTAATTTGACTCAACAAAAGACAAAATAACACTAAAACACTTCATACTGCCTGATACACTGACCTGATATATATCTTGTGCTGTCACTGTATGAACCCCCTCCCCTTTGTGTCTCCTCTATTGTATGACAGCTGCATCTGTGTGTGGGGTCAAGATGCAAAATTAGTGTTCTGTAATACGATTCAAAGTGGCGGTCTATGTGGTAATGGTAGTGATTCAGTATGGTAATAATACTTCGTGTACATTTGTGGCAAGCTGATGTATTGATTATTCCAACTTGTTGTTTATTGTTAGTGAATAAGGAGCACGATACTGACAAAATGTGTTCTATAAACTAATGAATGAATGATGCAAGAATACTTCAAGGCTCTTTATGATATATGATATAGAGAACACATACAATAATATTACCAAAGGGGAACTAACATTTTACTTCATCCTCTCTGCCTCTGATCGCCCTGTGACAATCAGTCACGTCTCTTTTAGACTCTGTTGGCAAGAAGTGGGCATACACTGACTCCAGAATGTATCTGTACCATATACAATAAATGCTTTGAAATAGTGTATTAATGCTAATATATGTGACATGTTAAAGAGAGAAATGACACCAGCACATGTACGACAGATTTTCAGAGCGTACAACGACACCGACACATGTACAACTCAGGTTTTGAATGGGCACGCTAATGCTGAAGCATATGGCACAAGTTTTAAACCAGTACTGTATAGTAATACTGACACGTGTATGTCACAGGTGGTGAGCGAGTATAAGACCCGAGATGAGTTAGTACGAGCTGTGTTGTGCTGTTGTTTCCTGCCTGGCATCTCCGGGTTCTCTGCCCCCACGTTCCAAGGACGCAGGTTAGTCCCTGTAACAATAATTTATAACATGATAAATTTTGTGTAAAATCCTTATGTCTCTCTTTGTATCCTTTGTTTGTTTCCTCGCCTTATTATTTCATCATTCATTATCTACTTTTTTTGTTTCCACACCACCTACCCTCTCCTCCTATTTTTCCCTCACTTTCTATCCCTCCTCACCTTCTACCTTCGTCTCCTCTCATCCCCGTTCCTTCAGCAAATGTATTTTCTTGTCTACCAAATTAATTACTTATTATCTTGGTGATCCTTCATGCAAAAGCGCCTGGATTTGATTCCCGGGAGGGTGGAACTGTAGACAAATTCCTTTGTGTCACTTATCTTTGTCTCTGTACTCTGCAGAATTTGAGGACTTGAATGTAAATCAATTAGCAGGTCTTGTTCCTAGGAAGGGAGATAATGGTTAGTTAGGGCAGTTGGTGAATTGTCCAATCTTCCTGGGTTCCCTGGACACTAGTTTATATGGCCTGTTAAATATGAGGTAGTACAGTACAATTGTGTTGGGGACAGCCTCCACACCTTCGACACATTGCCACCCAGGTGGCCTTAAGGCAACCGTTTTGAGCAGCGTAGAGTAATAAACATTTCACAACCACAGTTCAATGCTTCATTTTATGCATGGAGGTGACAACATTGGCAGAAACCCCTACCTCACCACCATCACAGTCTACCAGTCCAAGTTGTGGAATCAAGAACGGTACTGGGCTTCAAAATAACCCTCAATAAAATTGCCCAAATACAATGGAGGGAGATCCTACGCAGGCCACTGGCCTCCTTCACTCAGTGTGGCCACCTCTAGTGGGTGGCCATTAGGTAAATATGTCCTAGCCTGGAAGACTGTTCAGGGAAAGCCCAGGAATATCAGACAATTCATCCACTGCATAAGCTAACCATTACCTTCCTGGAATGTGATCCACTTATTGTATGAGACTAGATTATGTCACACTTTGTCTAGTGGTAATTATTATCATGTGTGTTAATGTTACCATGTGTGTTTATATCATTAACATTTAGTCAATAAGACCATAGAATTCCTCTCATAGGATTCTATGTTATCTTTACTGGCTGCTTGAAATATATTGGTCTTTTCACAACTACCACAACAATGTCAATTAATCTGTATATTTCTTCAATGTTTGGTTTTAGTTGTTTGTATGTGAAGGTTTGACTGGATTATATATTCAAATGACAAACTTTTGGCATTATTTTATATATAGATATAAACGTAAAGGTAATGTGCGCATGTTGTGTGTGTCAAAGGTCAAGTCTGTTAACTTTAGGCCGTGAGAACTTGCTTCACCCTTCAGATACGTGGACGGCGGGATGAGCAACAACATGCCCCTTAAGGGACCCACCACCCTCAGCATCAATGTCTTTGCTGGAGAGTTCGACATTTCACCTGACGAAGACGATACTAACTACGGTCCAACTACGGTCTTCAACCAAACCTTGGAGATGTCCATGGAGAACCTTCGCAAGTTCTACTTGGCTATTGTCCCTCCAGAGTCCGAGGAACTTGACGTCTACTATGACCGTGGCTACGCTGACGCCAGAAAATACATAACTGGTCATTAACACATTGGTGATGGGAACGCGCTCGTTCATTATTACGCTGCAGATTTTCAGGTTTATTTTAACTACCTATATAATAAAATATTTGGGTGATTTTGCTTTTAACTTCAACTATTGATGTACAGGTAGTTATACTAGTACTGTAATGTATTATTCTACTTGGAATTACCGTCATTACTGTACGTCTTTGTAATGCTTGGATCTATGCAAGTGTTTTCGATGAATCTTTACAGTAATGTCAGTCAGTCATGGGTAATCAGAAATGTTGGAACACCTATTCCAAACAAACATAAGAAGGGAACATGTCAGAGTATAACTTCAGGATATTATACAACTGTAGCCCAATTGGGAGGTGACGAGCAAATCTAAAAGATAATTATTGTTTAATGTAATTTATAGCTAGGTATGACCTTGCTACTTCATGCAGAAGACATAATTAATGATTTCTTGTCTTTTTTTCTCTAAACCCTCAACTGTCGTTTCTCTCGCCATATAAACCTGAATTATGCAGTTCTGTTATTACTTTTAGACGGTGTTGCTGAAACATTGTTTTACTCTGTGTCAATGTTATCATTTTCACACTAGTCTACACTAATGTTATATATTGTTTGTTTCATCATATAAAATCAACATAATGTCACTGCAAATTAGTTCACATGTTTGCTTCATAAGTCACAAAATGTGATATTTTGCAATGGTTACTTCATAGTTTTGCAACTGAAGTCAAAGAATGCTTTCTATTATTGCAGCTGCTCCATATATGTGAAATTTTTACAAGAAAAATACTTATCCATTGCTTATTTATTACCGTCTTAAATACAGGTTGACAGCCCTTTATCCGAAATTCCGAAAACCGAAAAGCTCTGAAACCGAAATTTTTTTGTGGAGCAATTTTATTTTATTTATTTATTTTTTTTAAACAGGGATTAGCCCACACAGGCATAAATCACTGACCCACATCGGGGCCTGGGGGTCGAAAATGTAATAGTATTAATAATTATAATAATAGTTATTCATAGTAAATAAAAATTTTAATAAAAAACACACCAAAATAAAATAATAATGATAACAATAATACTGTATTAATAAAATAATAATAATAATAATAATAAAGAAATACAAGAATGAAAAAAGATAAAAGGTGAGAAACACGACCTAGACCTATGAATTATTATTATTACAGGTACTGTATTATTATTATTATTATTATTATTATTATTATTATTATTATTATTATTATTATTATTATAATTTTGCCCCCAGGCCCCATGTGGGTCAGTGACTTGTGCCCGGGTGGGCTAATACACATAAAAAAAAAAAACCTAACCATTCTGAAAACTGAAAAATTCCGAAATCCAAAATGCCTTTGGCCCCAAGGATTTCGGATAAGGGATTGTCAACCTGTACAAGTAACATGAAAGTGGAGACACCTCAAACTTTCATCATACTGTATTAAGAATTATGGATAAACGAGAAAAGGAAAACTTCATCCATTATATTGTTAAAATTTCCACCAACACAGTAATGATGTTTGTCTAAGCAATATGCACAAATATGACGTCACAACTGCCGATGCAAGCATGACGTCAGAGTTAACCTCTCGTGTGTTGTAGATCCATTTAGTCACAAACCTTATTGGTGTATTCTATGGGCCTGATATCTCGTTTATTCATGGTGCTAACTATACTGGCAAAATAAACTCTACTCGGTATTCCTGCTTTGTATTCTTCACTCCTGTACAATTTAGCTTCCATGGATGTTGCTGACGAATATAAGAAGTATTCGGACATATATAGAATTTATTCAGGAGGATATGGGAGACAAAATTTCACACGTTATGTTAGATCCAATAGGAATCATCGAAATGAACACCAAGATAATAAGAACTTGGATGCAGACTCAACATGAAAGGATACATCCCTCACATAACACACTCTGAATGTGATAAAGTCTGATGTGAAGTACAACTGAGCAAACAACTTCCAAAGGTTTTGAAGTTGCATTTCAATTCTTTTCTTTTACCATAAATAAATCCTTTATACCTTTATAGTTAATTTTTCTCATTATGAAATAGTTTTTAAATGGTATTTGTACTGGATATCTTAAGAGAGCTGACTACCCTATAGCTGTCCTCTGTGTGTTTAATACTGTAATGAACTTTCTTGTTAGTTCGGGGTTACACAGGGTAAAAGACAAGATTACATTCCATCTCCAAATTTGTATAGTACAGTACCTGCAATATCTATTCAGTATTATTAATGAGTTGTAAATAACAATAAAGACACAAAAGTTAATGATAAAGTACAGTAATATAAAATATATGCTATGCAGGTGATACTGCTCTTACCATGAATAGTGAAGTCGCTACAATAACTGATTAACATTACAGTGACCCCTCGGTTAACGAACTCAATCCGTTCCAGAAGGTCGTTCGTTAACCGAAACCATTGTTTCAATGGGTTTTTGGGTAATTGGTTCCAGCTCACCGAAAATTTCCTAAATTCAACAAAAATGGTAGAAAAGTTCACTTACTTTGGGGTGTGTATGTAGAAGGCTCCTGGATGATGATGATGGTGATGATGGGAATTAGAATGGGGGTGGAGGAGAAGGAAGAAGAAAAGGCATTGGGGTGGAAGAGAAGTCACCCCATGGCACCATTTCATCCATAAAATTTTAGTTCTCTTGGTGTATTTCAAGATTATTTTCTTTAAATCAACACTGCACTGCATTATATATTGTCAATATGTAAAATATATTTCAAAATGACCAATAATTTGCTTGGAAACACAGAAAAAAAGCGTTTAGTTGAAGAGAGTCTCAAGCAAGATGTTACCTCCAGTGAAAACAGAGAGACTAACGCCTGTCTGGTGTGTTAACAGGCTGGATGGCACGCCAGAAACTAGTTTCTTTACCTTCAATTATGTTCAATAATTGTTAAAATGACTAAAAAAGTTAATATTAAACTTTTAAAATTATTGAATAGTATAAACTTCTTGATATTTACTAAAATAGTAAGGAATTTAAGCCCTAGAACCGATTAATGTATTGGCGGACTGATACTAAAGCTGGTTGCCCGGTCAGTGCAAGCGAAAACATGTTGAGGTCGGTTCGTAAGAAATTCGTTAACCGAATTTTTGTTCGTTAACCGAATTGAAGATCCTTATGGAAGGCAGTTCGTTAACCGAAATTTCGTTAACCGAGGCGTTCGTTAAACGAGGGGTCACTGTACTGGAAAAATGTGAGAAATATGGGCTTATGAGTTAATGCTTTACAGACAAAGGTAATATTTGTTTCCAAATTAGATAATACAGGTATCTAATTTAGAAACAAATACACCTAGACCCCGACTTACGACTACGTGGACTTACGACCGCCTCAGATATAGATAAAAAAAAAAAAAAAAAATTTTAAATGACACGCATTTTCTATACCGAAACGTTTCAGTTAATGTAGTCTCCATGTATAATTAGAAAATTATGGGGCCCCATGTGCATTCAGCTGACTACATTAAAGGTTAAGTGCTCAGTCACACTGTATCCATTCCTTATTATTTATTACTTTCACTGTACTGTATCCATTCATCATTATTCATTACTTTTACTGTACTGTATTTCATTGTAGATTTTTTATTTAAAAAAAAAAAATTTTTTTTTTTTTTTTTTTTTATCTATGTCGGACTTACGACCATGTCGGACTTACGACCTGGATTTGGGTCCCTAACCCCGTCGTAAGTTGGGGTCTAGGTGTATTATAAATCACAAAATAAAAATTATGAAGGAAACTTGGAATTCAGTGGGAAATTTGTGTACAGTATTTTGGAATTATGGGAAGGTACCATTAAATGTGGAACTGATGAACAAGTGTAGTGTTTTAGGGTACAAAATTTCACTGAACAAACTTTTTTATACCGAGTAAAATTCTGAGTAAACCAGCTCGCATTATCATTTGTGGAGTCTGGATAGTTATCCATTGTCACTGGCTGGGCGGCCATCCAATCTAGTGCACTCAGGACATATTTTCTATACAGACGTACAGTACTCTGAGGTGAAGTCAGTGGCAGGCTGACCCAGCACCATTACCCAGTGAGCCTAGACAACATAGTGAAATATATTTTCTAGGGATGGGCTGCACAATAAACTATTTGATGTAAGTGGCAAAAATAAATAAATAAATAAAATAATTAGGTACTGTACAGCACAGGCCATTATCACATGTGCTCTGATCTTCTATCACTCGGAAAGCATTATGGATTTTAACCAGGTGTGCTGCCCTTAAATTGGCGCTTAAGTGTTGAAAGATGAACTGGCAGGATGAAATGTTGAGTCAGTTACTATACCAGTATACAGTTATATATTATCTTGGAGGAAAAATTATCATTGATACATGTATGTTTTCTTTTGGCACTATTGTACCCTGTACCATCACTTTTATAGTATCTTATCTAACTAGAAAGATACAGAAAGAAAGAAACAAAGAGAGAAAACTATACTGATGTGAGGAGAGAGAGAGAAGTAAATAAAACACTCTTAAACACTGCAGCATGAACTTTATTACTGAAGGATTGAGGCTAGCTAGAATTTCAGGGCAGTTGGTGTGACTACACAACCTGTCATCCCAAGTACACAGCCAGTGACACCAACTACCCACCATTCTAGACAATAGGCAGATATATCAACCACCTACCTCTTACCAAAGGGACTTGCTAGCAGCAGAGATTTTCTTCCCAAGTCTTCTAGTCAATACAGAATAAAACATTACATTTAGGCAACTGCCTTATAGTATATGGCTGCATCATTCTGGCAGGACATAATCAACACTTGTGTAACTTTCTACAGATGTCCCATTAAGGATACCAAAATGTTGAAGAAACAGAAAATAACTTGCAGAGTTAGCACAAGCTAACCGAATCAAAGAGCTAAATGGCTGTAAGGAAAGGACACGAAAACAATGAAATTCATTTGCGCTGATAAATAAAAATTTGAGAAATTTAAAATACCTCACACGTCAGAGCACAAAGACACGAAATTGTATCAAAATTAACGTGGTAACAGTTCAATGTACAGGTACAGTAAAAAAAAAAAAAAAAATTATTTATAAGTTTATCCACTCTGAATACTGCATTTAAATTACAGTACAGTAGATTGAAAAAAGCCATAAAACCCTGAAATAAAGGAGGGTTTATCTTATTCTGGCTCACAAAATGAACAGCAGCAAATTTCTGCACACACACAGGTATTACCTGTAGCCTTTCCCATGCACTAAATTTTGTGGGATGCTTAATACAGCAAGCGAGTGCACCAGAAAAAGGAAACACGTTGTCAGTAAATGTTAAATGCAAATTATCGCAGGTCTTGAAATTGTCAACAACGTATTCGCATGTTATGAAATTCAGTGATATTATCGAGGGTCTTCATAATATATCTGCAAAATGTTCACAAATAATCAGTAAAAACTAACACAGGAAACAGGTCACAACCACCACTACTTCCTGGACCCTTCTTCTCAACCACAAACTACATCAATGTTGCTAAATTACAACATCGTCAAAATGTAGTAAAACGAGAACTCCACAGTTTAAAATACAGAAATGGAGGGAAACCTTTTTCAATGAGCCCAATCGGGATCAATGCTTACGGCTGCAAATAAAAGGATCTAATTAAATGCATGGGAAGCTCTGCAAAGTGATAAAAAAAAACAGTTCACGGCCGTATCAATATTTCCAGAACATGGAAACTACTGACACTATTCCATGAAATACAGTACAGTACTGCACAGCTAACGCCATGCTGAACTTGAATATCTGGGAAATCGGCATGAAATTCGCAGAATACCATGTAACCGGACGAAATATCTTTTGAATTAGCTGGCCAAATTAAACTGCCGAAATGAAAATAATCGGCAAAATTTCAAAAAATGTCTTGTGCCACGAATATCATATGAAAACGTATTTATTTATCATATACTTCCAAAAATATTTACCACTTTTCAAAGAAAATCTGGCTCATAAAACCTGAATCCTTTCACCAATGAAGAATTTGTTGGTTGCCACATCAATTGTATGGCTTATGTTCCAAGTGAAATAAATAAATATTAATAACAACATTGATAAACAACAAGATAATCTGTACCATTCACATACATAAGAATTATTTCCAATTATGAGAAAATGAAAACTATACTGCACGCTGTTCTATATATAAAAATTCCTTCATACATTTTAGTGTATCCAAATAATCGAACGTCTGAAAAATTATTCAACTTCAAAAATTTTATCCTCCATGACGTCTGACAAAATTGAATTCAATGTTACAGAAATAATGCCCCACAGCTTTAAATCATGACCAATTTAAAAAAAAAAAATATGAAAAAAAATTACATCTGAGGACTAAAGTCATTAATCATCCAAAAGAGGAAAAAACATTACTTACAATGACTAAACTGTGTGAACCAACCCCCCGAAGAACTATTATTAATATAGTCAAGGCTGCAACAATACATATATTGTATAGTCTAATGCTATGATTTAGAAAATCTGAACAATGAACTCAAGATACTTGGGATATTTCTGCCAATTATTTTCATTGGTAATAAACAATGCCTTACCATTTGCAATAATCTAATATACTGTACTGTGTTTACTTTTTCTGACACATGAATACAAACAAGCTCATTCAATAATTACTTTACCTGAATTGAATATGTATAAGCAAAAACTCAGGTCCATCTAATGCCATGAATATCATAATTACATAACAGCACAGGCATTAACCAAAATAATATGAAAATTTAAAGTTTCTCTTAAATAAAAAATATTCCTATTTAGAATTTCAGAAGTAACTTCTGATTTCAAGTTTCTCTGCTTAAGAATATCTTATCTAAAAACACACCATTCATACTTTGAAATTTTATTTGGGATATACTGTACTGCTAATACCAGAAGGAAAAACTGTTTCAGTCCATTGTCAAACATTCAGTGACAAATGGAAACCCCCAAAAAATTTTGCAAGCAAACACACGTAATTTACACACAGTTGTCAAAAACCTCACTGGTTCCATGGATTGTAAGCGGCAAAAAGCGAATTCTGACCCTGAGACTGTGTGGGTTTTATATTTGAAGACACAGTCTTGCTCGAACGACTGGATAAGCCAGTGGGCCAAGTAGGTGGCACCATGCTTGGGTGAGGCACCCCTGAGGGTGGTGGCACACCTGTGGGTGCGGGTACACCTGTAGGGGCTGGTACACCAGTTGGTACACCACCGGCAGAAGGACCCTTCATCAAATTAAGGATCCTTTCCTGTAACTCAGACTGCTTGTTTCCTGTACTCCCTACAGCTCCATGTGTCATCATGGGAGCAGCTACAGGGGTGACTGGCACATTTGTGGTCATGCCATATGCACTATATGCCCCACTATGTACACCTGCCAAGCCACCATAACCTGGATAGGCACTACCTGAAATAGCAGCTGCTGCTGTTGAGGGAACTACATTGACACTACCAGGAGTAGTAGCAGCAGCAACAGCAGCAGCAGCAGCAGCGGCAGCAGCAGCAGCAGCAGCACTGGCTGTGCCTGCTGCTGAAGAACTCTGACTTACGGGTGTGTCTGACCCCACCACAGTGTTGGAACCATAATTATACCCAGGGTATGTTACTGCCATGGGTCGACTTGCACTGGCTCCTGGAAAACAAGATATTCAAAACCAAAATCAGTTTTATGAATATTTGGACAAATGCCTAAATATCAAACACCTTACTTTAAAAATCAGACGGCTACAAATAACTCACCGGATATTGCTAAACTGAGATGTAAATAACAATATGCATACAACAAAATACTGGAATATACAGAATACTGTACACTGAAAAGGTAAAATGTCATCCATTTCATCTGTGAAGATTTAAATTTGAAGTACAAATAATAGTATCCAAATAATGTCAGTAATATGGGGAAAAGAAAAGGTAAGTTTAAAGGTTACTGAAAAAGTTTATGAAAAGATAAGTATGAAGACAATAAGACAACAACAGAGGACAAGAACACAGATAATGAAAGTAAGAAGACACAACTAGTTCTCCATGTAACTATACTGTATCTCATGCAAAGTCAGAAATAAGTTAAGATGCCTTTAAAAGCATACATCTACATACTGTTTCTGAAAATTTTTATGTAATTAAATTTTTTTGCACATGGAAAATATTATATGAGCCATTTAAAACTGCACATTCAAGTTCGGTTAGGCCTACCATGTCTTATTAATTATAAGCAGCAAAAGTGAGTTGTTGCAATCACTCCAAATAAAGCAAAACAATAACACAGTTCACTAAATAAACTGCAACATTACATTTGTAGTATCAGGGTTTTCACTAAATGTTCATGTAAATAACCCAAACAGGATTCAAAGAGGCTTAGTGTCATTAAGAGACAAACTACAGAGACTAAAGGAACAAAATGAATACAGTACAGTATATGTAAGTTCAAGAGATCAAGTTACTATGGTTAGGTTAAAGTTTTTCTATAACCAGATTCTGAATCTTGTACAGTAGTTTGTTCCAGAAACATTATGAACCAGCCCACATGTCAAGGAAATGACCAGTTTAACCAGGGGCAGAAGTTCCTAATGAAAACCCTGATGGTAGAGGCAAGCTTTATAAACATGGATGATATATACAGCCAATCAACACCTTTTCCTGACACATCAGACATCAGTGCAGTTAAATTATGTATCAGTTTAATAGTGGGAAATGTTGTAAAGCACCCTGAGCGTGTTCAGTCTTACCCACTGCCATTTTCACAAATAAAATTCGGAAATCTTCAAACCAGCTAATTACTGCCAAGGAAATCTTATGTGGATCCAAAAAGAAATTAAATTCACATGATATACAGGAAAATGTTGTGTGCATGCTAATACAATCACAACCAGAGGGCATAAAAACCACAAAAAACCTTACTTACAATATATATATATATATATATATATATATATATATATATATATATATATATATATATATATATATATATATATATATATATATATATATATATATATATATATATAATATATATATAATATATATATATATATATATATATATATATATATATATATATATATATATTCATACAAGACATTTCAAACCTTTGGGTGATAAAATATTGTATTGTAACAAGAGACTTCCCTTTCCTATGGAATCTGAGGCATATTATTTTTTTACACCAAGATAAAATATGTGTATGTACACTCGGAAACCGCAATTTCTAGCCCAGCCAGGTCGGGCCCGAGTTGAGGATCAGGTCCTTTCTGAATGGCTGGCCACGCTAACTATCATGGGGCAACACGCGCACAAACACACAAGTTATGAACCCTTCGAGGCTTCACTATCAGTCTGTCATGTTATACTCCTCTTGCTATGTATAATGGTAAGCAGTCATAGTATGGATGCATAGAAGACAATATGTATTAGTATATTGTATTTTATACCCTTCAAATATCCTTGTAAACCATGGAAATGAAGGAAACCTCTCATAGATTGTAATTTTGAAAGCAAGAATTTAACGAAGCAACTCCAAACCAGCCAATGCACACGCGAGATAAGAGAGGTAACTTACTCTGTAATGCCATGTGTATGTGTGTGTGTGTGTGTGTGTGTGTGTAACATCATGCTTCATCCTTAGTATTTAAAATGTTTCATAAAAATATTTAACCATTTACTGTAGCATTCGAGATAGCTCTCCCCTACGTCGTTTTGAGCAGAGTGCCGGAGCACAATGTTTCCACCACACCCAGCCTTTACCCTTCTTCCGTGTAACTATATCCAAATGCCTATGTGATTGTTTTTCACCCATATATTTACCAAAACTAAATGTAAATGTGGACCAATTGCTCGTCATTTCACACACACACACATGCACACAGAGCATCAAGATTGTTTTGGAGGCGTGACTGTTGGTTAAATGAAACCACAAAAATATTTTATCAAATTATGTATAAGCATATATCCATTGTAAACATTACAATTGTCCATAACATTTAAAACATGTGTGAAACAATTAGAAAACGATATGGGTGTGCAGCTACATGTCCTGCAACACATATATGTGGAGTGTAGTAGAAAAACATGGTTTAATACCTTGTCCAACCTCCATTTGCTGCTGTAACTTCATGCAGTCTGGTAGGCACAGAATCTACCAGATTGCTGCAAATGTCCGGCCTATTCCTTATTCCCTCCCACACCATTCTTGCCTGTCTCCTCACTGCCTCCCTAGTCTTCTCCACACCCCATTCAACAACCATATGTGCCCAAAGATTCTCTATTCGGGGCTAATCCAATAAAATAATCTTTGGGTAGCCCTCAAACCAACGCCTGGCTGCCCGACTTGTATGTATTGGACTGTGGTCTTGCACCACATATATAGGTTGAGGCTCTGGGATGGCATATGCCTGCACAGATGGGAGAAAGGATGTCTCTAGAATATCAATATACTGGTCTGCAGTCATATGTCCCTCAATGTCTGTCAGTTCACCTACACCTCCCCACCACATCCATCCATGCATGGAGGTTGCCACACGACCGCTTGTCAATGTCCCATGGATGTTTCTTCAAGCATATCTTGTATTACGTATTCGCCAGCACTGGCGACCGACTGCTGCGACAGATGTGAAAAATTTTTCAGCGGTGAAAATGACAGATCTCCAAAATTTAACCCCAACATCCGCATACGTCTTGGCAAACCTTTTCTGTGTGCCTCTGTTAAGGTTTCCTTATATGCTGGGATGAAACACTGTCGGCCAGTCTCCCGTATTCACCTCTTGGTAGTTATCGGGTGACAGTGTTCTCCCGTTACCCTTGTTATGCGTACGGCAGTTGAGAGTGGTGCTCTCTCTGCTTCCCTTCGTATCTGTTGATCCTCCACAGGCATGGAGACTCTTGTCCCTCTTGGTCAGGGCCTGGTGAGCACGTGATCCTCCTCCTGATGTCGCCTCACCCAAAGCCTAACTGTATCTCTGGAGATACCGAGAAGGCGACTAACCTCCCGTATTCTCTTCCTTGCCTCGTGATATTCAACAATCCTGGTGCGACGTGTTATCACCTCAGGCCGATTAGCCCTCGTCCGTGGTGGCCTCATGTGACCTTGTGGCTGAACCTCCATAACTGTAATAATAAAACGATAAAGTCATTAGGGTGTCAGATCTTTAATAAACGGTTGGACATTCATTAATAAATATTCAGAATATTATAGGGCAGCATGGAGTAAATATCAAAATGTGAATGCTGACAACAATTTACTGACACTGTATCAAATATCAATGTATATGAAAACCCAGTTCCTGTTATTTTACAGCATTGCAGGGTTTGACAGCCTTTTAATTATCACAGTTAGCCTGTAGATGTTGTAATGGTTGGAGTATTGGATGGAGAGGTTAGTGAGAGAGGTGACACCTGGTATTTATAATTCATCCAACACGGGACACAGTCCATGTAGCCAGGGATGGCCCGCCTCGGGGGTAGGAGGGGGGTTGCTCCCAATGATTGGGCTTAGAGTTGGTCATGATCGTCTTGATGACGTCTAAACTTCAGGGTGTTGGTCAAGAAAGGAAATAAGAGGTTTTCGCAACCAATACATGGCTTTAATAGGTGTTCAAGAAGCAGACAGACTTTTAATAATGGTAAATAATTACATATTTAACTAGACAGCACTCGGAGACTGCAAACCTCCGATATGGAGAAAAAAGCATCAGGTCTTGGCAGATATGAACAATTAAAAATCTTACACAAAGTGGTAAAATTATTAGTGGAAAAGGTCACATGATGTTAATAACGTGTCCAGTCTCTGATGGTGTTATCACATGTTACATACCCACAAAACCCATAATTCTTCAACTAATAACAATTGTCGCTATGGTCAAAATGCTGTATTTATTAATGCAAATCATAAGGCATTATGCTTGTAAATAAACTTTACTAGCAACAGTGGACCTTTAATTTGCATTCCGTAGGTTTCCTCACATTCCTACGTGGTCTGTCACGTGTACTAAGTAAGAAAATTTATGAGTTTTCTATTTTGTAGTGTCTCAGGAATACGCCCCTACTTTATGAATGGCATTTATGAAACACACTGTATATTTGGAGAATATGTTATGCTCACCAGAGTCACCGCTCGAGATGATAACAGGAAGGGATGGGAGGATGGTTGGCAGTCCTGTTGAGCTTGCAGGTGTACAGATATCAAAGCACACACGGTGAAACTGAAAGAAAACAGATCGAAAATGTGACATTAGTAAAGAACAAATGAGGTTATATAAAACAATATTGTCAAAATATATCCACCTTTGTATATATCTAATATATATAGATTGGATTAAATACGGTATATTTAGCACTTGTCAAGCAATACAACGAAGAAAACATAAGACTTACCCTTTGAGCAACTGTGTCCACACGAACGGCAGGCCTTCTCCTACACACGACTTCAGGTCGGTTATCGCTGTGTGATTCGCTCACCTGTACGGCGGTGCTTCAGATCTTAATTTCTTAACTATGTTTATGACAATATTTTAAAGGGTATAAAATACAATATACTAATACATATTGTCTTCTATGCATCCATACTATGACTGCTTACCATTATACATAGCAAGAGGAGTATAACATGACAGACTGATAGCGAAGCCTTGAAGG